TTTAAAGAGAACCTATATTTCTGACATTGTTGCAGTCCTGAGGTATCCGTTTATACTTCATAAATGCACCTTGAGAATTACAAATATGTAATATTTATTCATTGAAGGAAAAAATAAAACAACAAAGTTTTTAATAAATTCATCTAAGATAACAACTTCTAAAAAACATGGAATGTACATATAAACACTACAAGAAGTTTCTACGGTTCAAATAAAGCAACTGGCCCTTGCCTTGTGTCTTGCCAACCCACATCTCTAAATTTCACGAGCACAGATTCCTGTCAGGTAAATCTGTCGTCATACTTTTCTTTCCAACTTCCTGACCTAGATAGTCAATTCCATAACTGGTAGTATGCAGCAGAAACGTTTTCAAAGGAACTCACAGCAGACGACTGTGAGAACAGTTAAAATTTGGATTCATGGCTGCTGAATGTATTAGTGCTGTAGAATAGAGCTCAATAAAACACCGCAAACTGATGACTCTATAATGTACGTTTTTCCTTCAGTTACCGGAGGCTACAAATCCAAAATCAATGAGTTGGTTGAGTCATGTTTTCTCTGAAACCCACAAAGAATCCATCCTTGCCTTGCTTGTCTGCCAGTGCTTACCAGCATTCTAGCTGTGCCTTTCTTGAGCACAGACTACTCTAACTTCTGTCTCCATGGTTACATGGCCATCTCTTCCATGAGCATGTTTTGTTTTAGTAGTTTTCCTCTTAAGAACTCCAGTCACAGTAGATGAAGTACCTACCTCCACCTCTTTTGTTACATTCTAACTAGTTACATCTGCAAGAAGCATATTTCCAAAAGGATAACATTCTGAGATCTTGCAGATAAGGACTTGGACATACTTTTTGGAGTAAATACTGTACTCCATTCAAATCTGTACTTTATCCTGCCAAAATTTATGTCTTTTCTATGTGAAAAATACACTGATACCATACCTACATTATCTAATATTAATTACTACAACATCTACTATTAATCCTATGTGTTAAACACCTAACAATTCCAGGTATTGATGCCATTTCTAGGTGATCTACATCAGCTTTGGGTGGAATAATGTTGTGAAAATATTCTCTACCTGAGTCCGTAGTGAATGATCTTCTTACAAACAAAGTGGTGAGACAGCCATTAGGTGCACATTCTCATTCCAAGGGGAAAAATTAGAAGCAAAAATAAGGATGTTATAAGTAAACAAGTTCTCAATCCAGGCTAATTTCAAGTCTTCAGAATATTCTCTGTTTCTGCTCTGTCTTCCGAGCTTGATGGGGTGGTAGGTGTATATCAGGGCCTTGCTAAGAATAACCCCACCCTTTTTAGTCATTTTTTCACTTGATTTTGTCTCTGTCCCTTTATTAGTGTTGTCTTTGCTTATTTAAAATTTGCAGGAGCTTGATTCGTCTCACGTTTAATCCATGATAATTCAATAAAGACAGATCCTCCATAGCTCTTTCCTGGGCCATTTTTCTCTTGTTTTCTATAGAAGTGACTGCTTGGATCAAGCTGATTTACACATAATTTCATTCTTTTGTCCAGGTACAGTTAGACCTGTCTCTAGGATGATTAAGGACTGGATGAAATTTTTTCAAATCACTATGGAATGATTTATTTTTATAAATAGTTTTGATAAATAATTTTATGAAAAGTTTTCCCATTCTATTATAAGGGACAGATTGGTATTAGTCTACACACATTTTATCAATTTCTTGGAAATATTCTGCTAATAGAAACTCAAGCTATTGCTTGCAATTTTGAACTTTCAATCTACAGTAGAACATAATTCAGTTAAGTGCTTTGCCTTTTAACAAATATACCCTCTTCTTCAATGACCATGACTGATCTCATTCTCTTTCCTCCTTAACTGTCTTCAGAACAGTCTTTAGTGTCTGTATTTATGTAAATAGTAATCTCTTCAAGAGAATACAGGCTCTTTTCATGCATTTCACAAATTTTCCAGTATCTCCCCACTATGTTATCCACAGTCTACTTCCATATTTGCATTTGTTAAAGCAGTATTTCACATATCAATACAATCTATGAGTTTCTATGAAAGGAATAAGGCACGCCAAGCTGTTTCTTAAAACAACATGTGTGTTCCACCACAACTATACAGGTCGAATGGCATTCCTTTTTCAAGCTTAACCGACATTTCTTCCTTATCTCTTCTAAGTTTGGGTGGTTGTTATTAATTCATATATTCCTTAAGATTTAAACTCATCATGACTCCAGTCTCTGCTGCCATTGTTACATGTCCATTCTCTCCCTCTCTGCCATTATGAGGAGTCACCCAACCCTAACAAGGTCTCATCTCATCTTAATTCATTATACGTGTACTAACCCAAATAAAGTCACTTTGCAGGTATTGATGTTGAGGACTCAACCTATTTTGGGGGCATATATTCAAGGCATAATAGTATATATCTAAATACCTAAACAAACAGATATCAATTAGATCCATTTCAGACAATCTCTTCCAATTTTGTGGTTGAAATGATTTATCTAGTATTAGTTTAGAACTATTTCTAAAAATCAGCTTGAAACCAAGAAGACAATTTAGGTTTAAATAAACTCTCAACTACCTGAACAACCGTGTCACACTTTTAAACAACATCTTAATGACAAACAAGTGGATATTGGGAGTCTATCTACTATGTTCAGTAATTCTTCCTTAACACAGCACCATGGATCTGGACTAATGATTAGCAAAATTCTTCACTGTCTATTGGGATAAATAAACACAAAATATTTGTGCTTTAGTTTATTCTATTAAAGTTATTTTATGGGTTTTTTCTTCTTTCAGAGCCACAGATTAAGAAGGAAGCAAAACCAGGTAACAATATTGTAAACAGTATAAGAATTCATACTTCCCTCAGGCTGAAATTGAAATTTTCACTGACTACCAACAGAATTTTGACAGTCTCTCAGTTACTTGTGATTTCCCCCTTTCTATTGTCCAATAATATTTCATAGTATTCTAGTAAAGTTCAAATTTCTATTTGGTGAAATATATCTAGAGTATACCAGTGGTTCTCAACCTTCCTAATGCTGCAACCCTTTAATACAGTTTTTCATATTGTGGTCACCCCAAACATAAAATTATTTTATTGCTACTCCATAACTGTAATTTATTACTGCTATACATCATGTTGTCTGATATGCAAGTACCCCATATGGGGTTGAGGACCACTACTTTTTAAATTGTTTTTATTAAGCTATGTAGTTTTCTCTGCTCCCCTTCCTTCCTCTGCCCTTCCCTTATGCCCTCTCCCATGATTTTTATTGAGTTACACACTTTTCTCTACTCCCCTCCCTGCCTTTCCCCTCCCCTTCAACCCTCTCCCATGGTCCCCATCTCCCAATTTTCTCAAGAGATCTTGTCTTTTTCTGTTTCTCATGTAGATTAGATCCATGTATATCTCTCTGAGGGTCCTCTTTGTGGTCTCACTAATTTATACTTAACTTGCAAATGACTATAAAATTTAGAATTTATTCTTCTGAGTGTTTTGATATCAAGTGTGATCATGTCTGTTTTGCGGCTTTTTTCTATCAATTATTACGAAGGTCACAAAAACAAAATCACAGGCTCTTTGGAAATGAAGATAGCAATGCCTAATACTCAAGAGGACGCCTCTGAAGTACAACTGGACACTGCACTGTTAATTTCTTCGTTAGAAAGCACACAGCCCAGCCAGCGCTAGCCTTATGCAATAGTTTTGGAGATAGTTCAAAAGACCAAATTCATGCAACTGATTTTTCAATATTTTCAAGCTAACAAATGTTGGAGCTAAAATTCTACACCCTGTCTAATTTTTACAACGCCCTGAGTAATTTTATTAAAAAACCACCCCAGACTAACTGTATCATTTTATTAGCAGCTGAGGTTGACCTGAAAAACAAGATGACCTTGTTTAGTATATACTGTCATGATTAAATCCTTGTTTGGTCCCAACTGGTTGCTGACCTGAGGCAAGTTTGTGAAAGCCCTCAAGCTCTATGGAAGCCATTCCTTCATTATGAGAAATGATGCAGCAAAATCTTTACTTATTAACTAATCTAAGAATCCAAATCTAGCTTCATGTGCAGTGTTGCCATCCCCTCCACTCCTCACCAGAATTTTGTCAGCAGCTATAATCATAACTTGTGACTGGAAGCTCTTATAAATAAATTATGTTTGCATACATCAGACATAAATGTCTATCTACCCTTTATGATTTATTTTCTCATGTCTTTCGTTTATTGGAGGTGAAAACATTTTACCAGACAGTGTGTCAATTTTAAAATTACAAATAATTATTTACATTGTGTGTGTGTGTGTGTGTGTGTGTGTGTGTGTGTGTGTGGTGCATATATACTCATGCCAAGGTGTGGAAAATTGAGGTGTGTAAATTAGCTTAATTTTTCTGCATTGTGAGTTTTGGGTCATCAACAAGGTTTGGTGACAAGTCCAAACATTATGAACCAATACATACTGTTGAACCACATTGCTGGTACAGCATTAAAAATAAAGAGCCTTTTAAAGCGAGTTATACTTAATACCACTTAAACTTAATATTAGTTGTTTTAAAATATTGTATTTGTCAGATAATTTATTACAATTTTATCTTTTCAGCTCTGCCTGACAAAGCTCAAACACACAGTATGTATATCTATTTCATCTGTAAAGCTCATATACAGTCTTTTTAAAGAGCATTTTCCATTTCCAGAACTGCAAAGTTTAATCTATACTTCTACATTTATGCTTTGCAAAAGCCTGTGATTTGAAAATTGCAGGTGTTATGTAAAGAAAAAGTTTTGTATGCTTGTACTGTTTTTCTAAAACAAATCCTTTAGAACTTTGATAGGAAATGTGATAGCTCAGAAGTTTCAAAATAATTCTCCTTATTGATATAATTTCTATTTTCAATTTTAAAAATAATTGGCCCAAGTCATACAGAAAACATTGTGTGCTATACTAGAAAACTTCAAAATGTCTGACATATCATTTTTATGACTTTTAGAACAGGGCGATTCCAAACCAGAGCAAGTTGTTCCTCGCGGTAAACCAGGTATTTTCCAAGCAGCATTGCTGCAGCCAATGGTCTTCCACTGTTCTGCTTATATCAAAAGAAAGAGTCAGATCCAAAGTCACTTGTGGTAACACATGCCTTAAGCCATCACCTTCCAGAGACCATTTCTTAGTCATCATTCCAACATAGGCTGAACAGAGAGTGTAACAGTCGGATTCAAGTAGGCAGCCTGCTTCCCCTGCCCAACAGACCTGGGCTTACTGCAAACAGCGTCCCACTCAGCCCCCAGGTAAATGGACCCCACATGGAGACTTACCTTTTCCAACATTGGACAAGACAGTCTTCTAACTGTTGTCCTTTCACCCTGGACAAGTCAGTCTTCTAAACATTGTCTTTCAGCGAAAGGTTAATATTCATTGGATCAGAGACAAATTAAGTTAGTAAAAATTCACCAAGAGAGTTACTGGGCAGATTTTTTCTGGGATATTTCTCCTTGTGGTTTCATTCAAGCTAAAAGAACTTGTAATTAGCTGTTTCATTGAAAATCTAACTTTTTAATTTTTTATCTAAACAATCATAAACTATGAAGGTTGGAATACTTGATCTCTTTTTAATGCTATATTGGAAACTTCTATTTGTATTAATCCTTTTTCTTATCACAGAACAAAAAGTTCTCAAGCAGGTAAAAGCTATCACAGCAGAGAAGACAGGTAAAGAAATTCCTTTATAATCTTTTCTAGATGAGTTTTGTGCACACAGTTATGCACAAGTATCCATTAAGTATGTACAATTTTTAATTAAAAATTAATTAAAATATAATCACATTATTTCCTCTATCCCTGCCCTTCCTCTTACCTCTTCCGTGCCCCTTACCTTTCATATTCATGACTATTTTCCTTTATTATTGTTTCACACAAACATATGTATTTATAAATAGATAAATACAACCAGCTTACTTTATTAAATGCTGCTTATTTAGGGCTGACAGCTTATATTGGATAGCCAATAGGAGGCTTATCACTGAGAGAGACTAATTCTCCTTTCAAAGTTTATTCTATCATTAGTAGTTCCTATTCTAGGGGTGGAAACCCCATTGATTCCCTCCCTGACATGTTAGCATGTCTATTGGTTTTGTCATTTTCAGTTCTTGTTAGTCTGAATTATTATGCATGAGTCATGTATACATTTAAAGCAATAAATTGTAAAATTATGAGTTATTGTGGATAATTTCAAAATAATTTTCACTGGAGGTAGTAGAAACTACAGTGACTTAACATTATTTTTATAATGTGATTTGCAAAATTATACATAATATATCAGGAAATCAATTTAAAATATTAAACATCATACATTCTAATTTGATCTTTCATATTATTGTCAAATCACATTTTCTCAAATCTTAAAATTGCAGAAAACTAGATAAGCAAGATAACCAACAAGTAAACATGCTTGGTATACAAGTCAGATGACCTGAACTTAATTCCCAAATCCCATAAGTTGAGAGAATTGACTTCCAAAGTTGTTCTCTGATCTTCACAATGGACATACCTGATAACTATCTATCATCTTTCAATCATCTATCTGTCTGTCTGTTATCTATCTGTCTGTCTGTCTATCTATCTATCTATCTATCTATCTTTATTTTCTATTTCTCAGTCTCTGTGTATAAATGTGTGTGTGAGAGAAAGAGTCTGTGTGTGCATATGCACAGAGTTAAGAACAGGCACAAACAACAATACAATTTTAAAATAAATTAAAATCACAGAATTTGAAGATTTGTTTGCTTATAAATTAGCTTATATGATTCTGTTCATTCCTCAGAGAGTTGTGTGGTTATGTTTATTTAAAGATCTGCCTTAAGATCAATAGAACACACCTCCATCATTTCATGGGTAGGAAAAAGGATTCACACTCTTCAATTTTGGAAACTTTCCCAAGAAAACAAAGGAAACTTTTGAGTCTTGCTCTCAGCTAATGTCTTGAACCCCTTATTCTCTTTATTTGAATCCTAGATGACATCTTATCACTTTGACTATTCAATGATCCATATTTTATTGCACTTAATTTTTCTAAAACAATCTATGAAGCATTCTTTTCTTTGAACTGAGACGATGAGATAAGATTGAAATATTTTGTGAAATAAAACAGAACTCAAGGGAAAATAACCCATACAAATTATAGGCTATCCCAAGACAACTTTACTTTATTAAATATGGCCATTCTTCTCTATCTTTTTCCATTGAGTAAATTTTTAACACCAATAAATGTTCCTTTAATTTTCATAGTGCCATATTGAGACATCCTTCAGGCCTGGAGTATCTCAGCCCTTTGTTGATATTTAAAGATATAAAAAGCTATCTTGGCATATTTGTATTCCAAATACAGAGATTGTTGTAAATTTATGTGCATTTCATATCTTTAGTCAGCTTTTCACTAAGCAATATGAATAATTATATTTGTTATTTTAACATAATAGTGCTCAGGAAAGAAAGCAGGCTTGCTTTAAGCTGAAAAAATAATCTGAGCCAAGAACAAATACATACGGGTATGAATGAAATATTTTTCAATTTTTTCTGTGGCTAGTACTCATCAGTACGCTGTCTACTTTGCCTTGTTCTCCAACGTGAAGCCCTTAATCAGCAAGTAAAATAGCCTGCTAACTTCAATTTTAACAATTTGCTCATTTTTATTTGTTTTTAGTGTAGACTATGACTAAATTTCTGTATGTGATAAATTGATGTTATTTTATGGCTTTGACTTAACTTCCTGTGGTTCAATATCATATCAATGATTCATGATATTTGTGCGGAAGGAACGTCTGGAAGTCGATAAGTATTTTTAATATTACAAAGGTAGGTTCATACAGGGAATTAAATACCAAGAACAAAAAGTAGTTAGCAAATCATATAAATTTACATAGTTTTTAGCAAGGGGAAATTTAAAAAGTAATTATACTATTAACAATACTTAGTATTGAGTTTTATTTTTCAAGCTGCATCATAGATTTAGTATTTAGAAAACCAAAAATTTACAAACATTTTGCCAGTTATCTACTAAAATGGTAAAACTGTAAAATTTCCTTGAGTTGAACTGCAAAGATCATTTCCTTATACAGAGATGGTAATGATGAATGCTTCAAGAAATGCTGATGGATTCAGGAAGCTGTGAACATTTAAATACCCATGTTTACAGAAGTGACGAATGAGTCTAATAATGTGTCTTAATTATCATTCTGCTTTTGCAGGGAGATATATTTGTAGGACACAATCTGTTTAACCACTGAGTCAAAATGAAATGATAAGATGTAAAGACAAATGTGAAAGAGTAGGAAGGATCCCATGTTGGTGGTCCAGGAGATGGGGTGTAGATTTATTTAGCTTAATTAGACTGCAAATGTACACTTGACAGAAAGGTACACTGACACTCGGCAGGTATTGCAGATGTGGTGTGTGTGTGTGTGTGTGTGTGTATCTGTGCTATGATTGTGATTTTATTTAACTTTTGTAGTGTTGTTCTCATTATATTTTATTTTGGAATATTGGCATCTACTTATTATCTTGTACAAGTTTATAACATAACGCTTAGGTAAATACAGTTTATGAAACTCTATTCTGGAGAGTTTTCAAGTTTAGTTTATAATTTATTCTCAGGTGGTGTCACTTCTCGCATATTTCTATTTTCTTCAATGGCTGGTATGTGATGTTGAAGAAAAATATCAGTAGTTAAAGAGAATTTCGAAGGTAAAGAGCAAAGGAAGGGAAAGACAGATACATACTGGGACCACCCCAATTCAACTCTGGAGACCGTTAGTACGGCCTGCTCTAGTTTTTGCTCAATTTCCAAATAAACCCTCTTCCCTTTAAAATATTCCACCACGTGGGACTTTAAAACACTTCGTTTGGTGGAAGAGAGATAGTTTTTAAAAACAATTATTTCTCGGGATGTTTTCAGAGGGCTTAGAAAAGTGTCTGTTGCTCACCAATTTTGGTTCCATTTGCCATAACCAGGAACCAGTTGGGTTTAAGCATTAATGCTTCTGGCTGGATCTGGAAGGGTGGGGTGATGTGTAGGGTATGAAGAGTGGTACACTGTAGGGTAAGGCACATCTTTAATACATTTTAAGCAAGACGAGAGTCAATGTAAGGAATTAAATGGTTTCTGGCGTGAAAAGAAGGAAAGTTGAAGTCAGCAATGTCAGAGGAAGAGGAAAAGACTGACAGGTTAAAGATTGCCCTTTGCCACAAGACATGGCCACCTTCACTAACAAAGCAGCTTCTTCAAATTGTTCTCTTTGACATGTTGTTTCTTTTTCCTTTTAAGTCACAGGACAACAAGAGACTGAGCATCTGGCACTGCCCTTAGGTGTTGGGAGAACACATTTTCAGGGTCTCTGACAATGAATCTAACCCTGTTTATAATATATTCTTTGGTAATAGACTCTCTGTGTTACAAGTTGTAGAGAAATGTCTTTAGGAATCTGCTTCCTCTGCAAGTGAGGGTCGTCTGCCAACATGAAATGTGACACACTCCCTGCTCCAAAAATATTCACATATCCTCTGATTCTCCATTTTCCCCTCTAGAAAAAACCGAACCTCAAGAAAAAGATCGTCAGTCTATGACAACAGGTATTCTTGGCCTTTTGGCTTACATGCTGTCTTTGTTCACCATGTTCATTAAATCTGAGCACTAAAAATCTGAAGTAGGCACTTTTCGTTTTATTTATCAGTATTGTTTGGCTTTGGATTTTGTACTATAATCTGTCTTATCTGACACTAGAGCTGTGGTTTCAGAGGCAATAAAAAAAAGATTGTCAAAGCATGCTGCATAATACAGAGAAGCTAGCAAACTGAATTTGCTTTCATGACTTACAAATTCTTCCCATAATATTAGCTATTTAGCAAGATTGCTATTACTGCCATTTATCATACTCATGGTTTGGTATCCCTTTATATGGCTTAAGTATTATTAAAAATTACACATGTTGAATTTGACCGATTGTGAACTTCAGCAAAATATTTTCTTGAAATATATATATTAAAATCTGTAACAATTAGCTTTATAATTTTATAATATTACTAAGTTTCATGATATGGGCTTCTTTGTATGGCTTAGGTACACTAACAAAGGGTTCTAACTAAAAAATAATCTTTTGTCTTCTTTTCTCTATATATTCAATCACCACTCAAAAATGCCCCAAATTATAATGAAATATTTGTTTTTGAATGAAGAAAGCTTATAGATAAGACTGCATAATACTTAATTAATAATTCCAGAAGGCATGTTTCACTGGATAACGAGGAAATGTACTTATAAAGTGTAGATTTTCATGTACAATACATTTATTTTTTCCTGAATTTTATGTCACTTTTCATTCACATTCTGGCAAATTCAAATTATTAATTGAATATTAATGCATCCCCAGAAAGGACAGTGGAAAAAATTATTCTGTGGCAATTAGTGGGTAGACATTCAGATTATTGTAAATGCCCATTGTCTTATCCAATAAAATCTGAAATTTTGCAGATGAAGAGAAAACTGAGATGTTTAACACTCCCAAATTCTATACCTCATCTATCAAAACATGTTGGAAAATATTTTAAAGACTTTTAAAATATTCCTCTATTACTTACTTTAATATATACTTAATTTATCCTATTTATAACAGCAAAATAGAAAATATAAAGTTAACATTATATATATAATTATATGCATATATATGATAGAAAATTTTCATTTACCCTTTTTTCTGTTTAGATAAACCTAAATCATCTTCAAGTAAGTATATCATTTAGAACTTAAGGATATGGGTGTGTGAGCTGGCTCATGGGTTAATACTACTTGTTACACATTTCTGGTGACATGAATTCAATCCCCTGGACCCAGTTAAAGGTGGACAGAATAAAATTTACTGAGTCCACACATTGACCTCTGACCTCCATCCATGTGTTATATAGCACATATGCAAACACTCACCCACAAACACACACACAAGCATCCTCACACACTAATAATGCATAGTTTTTAAAAAGAAATTCTGTATGAAACTTTATTTTACAGTGCACATAATTAGTAAGTTAAATTTCAAAAACAGGTTTATTAATAAAGACAATTATAATATTACTTATATAACAAACTTTATCAACAAAAGCTACATAGTGTGTTCTATTTATTAACACCAGATCTTGTGTGTCTATGGTTATGCCTAGTGCTCTATATTAGAATATATTAGGAATGCCTTAAATGCTTTCCTTCTCTGTGCCTCTGTAGCTAAGGCATTTTTTCATGGAAGGATACCAGTAGATAAAACAAATTTGTGGAGCTGAAGAGAGGTTTCAGTAGTTAATAATGCTGACTGTTCTTCCAGGGAACCCGGGTTCTAGATTCATATGCACATGATGGATCACAACCATCTGTAATTCCAGTTCCTGGGAGTTCAATACCCTATTCTGGACTCCAAGGACACCAGGCATGTACTCAGTGCATACATGCAAGCAAAACATCTAAAAATATAAAATAAAAATAAACAAAGCTTTATAAACCCACAAGTGGTTTCATCTCTCTTTTATCAACTTCTGTTTAATTGTTAGGGTTTATTCAATAAACACATTGTGAAGATTCGTTCTATGCTAGTGTGAAAGCCACAATGTGAGTCAAGAAGATTCATAATTCAATATTTCTAATATATTCCTCAATTATATTCAACTAATATAGTATCCTTTTATTTCAATTTTAAATGCTTGAAACATTGATTTCAGTAATTAAAAATTATGCTTTGATGTTTCAAATAATAATAAAATGTCATTATAAACAAGAACAATGTATATGTTTTAAAAACCCAAGCTTTATTTAGTAATAAATAATGTAAATTGAATAAAAACTAACTAGAGGTTGATCATTATTTTTTTAAAAAGGTTTACTTTTTGAGAATCTCATGCATTTATACAATAAAATACTATTGCATTCATTCTGAATCGATTCTGATTGAATTGATTCTCCCCTCCCAACTTCTATCTTTCCTCAAACTCTTCCTCCTCACTCTTCTTTTTACTTTTTTGACTGAAAATGGATTTATTTACATATAATATATGCTAATTACAGTTTCCCCTTTCCTAACTCTTCCAAGATCTTCCCAACCTCTCCACCAATCCAAATCCAAACCCTTTCTTTCTTTTTTTTTCATTAGCGAACAAACAAGTTTCTAAATAAAATAAAATGAAAAAAAGAAGAAATATGACAAAACAAAGAAACAACAAGAAAAAATAAAAAATCAAAGAAAAAGGACAAAATCATGCATACTCAGAGATACAAATATTTATGTCTCTGACAGAAATCTTATACAAACAAAATCAAAACCATTATATATTAGCAAAATAACTGTAAGATTAAAAAGAAAACCTAGTCACGGCATTATGAGACACAAAAACAAACTAGCCAACCAATCAAATAAGCAAACATACATCTCCAAAAGTAACATTGAGTTCATTTTGTATTGGCCATCTACTGCTTAGCATGAGGCCTAAACCTAAGTCTGGTTTGTATACTCAGCGAGACTTCCTTGAAAAAAATAATTTTTCATTTGTAAGTGGTTATTGGTTGGCCATAGCTTCTAGGCTAGGGGTGAGACCTTTTTTTACTTTTCCCCTCAGCACTGGAACCCATCTGGCTCAGACCTGTGCATAACCTGTAGATGCTATCACAGTCTCTTGAGTTCATATGTGCATCAGTCCTGCTGTGTCTATAATTCCTTGGGACTGTAGGGAAGGGAATTGATGGGGTCATCCCATTTAGGCATGAGTGTTACAAGGTCTCTCACTATATAGACTGTCCAGTTAAGAGTCTCTTTATTGTATCGGTACTTCAGGAGGAAGCATCTCTAACAATAGTTCATCATGAAAACGCCCTAAGGTATTGCAGAAATGTCATAAGGAGTCATTGTGTTGCTATAATCTTTTAGGGGAACATTAGTATTTGGTTTTCCCATAGGTGCATGGCCTTTCTAGTCTCAGATCCTTGGAAACTGGAGCAGCATGGCCATCATTTCTATTTCATGGAGTGGATCTTTAATTCAATCAGATAGTGTTTGGGTACTCCCAAAATTTATGTGCCATTATTGCGCCAGAGTATTGCAAGTATATTGCCATTGTAGATCAAAGGGTTGATAACTGGGTTGGTATTTAGTTTGCTTCATTAGTAGCATGAAACATACCTTCCAGTACCATAGCCACTAATAAGTAGACATGAAGCCTACAAGTGTGCACAAGTTTGACTTCTATATGTTCAATGAGTTATATAGGCATTATCTTCTTCAATAGGACTTTATCATAAGGTTTTGGAGAGCAGCCTATAGCCTTGGTGATACTGGATTGTTTGGGGTTTTCCTGTGGCACCTTTTGGACAACAAATCAACGAGAGGACACAGACCTTCATTTGGTGGGAAAGATGTTGAATTAGGGCTTTGTCTCCACCATTATGAAACAATTACTTTTAGATTTCTTTCATATATGTTTATCTTTAAAGAAGCTTCTGTTATAGTAACCTTCCATATGACTTCTCAAATGATACTTAGTTTTAGCTGTGCCTCCTTATAATTCATCCGTTACTTGTTCTTACCTCTTCTTCTTCATTTTCTTATTCTTCTCTTCCAGGTTCTTTACCACCACATATCTAAACTACATACTGTATTTGCTTCTTCACAAAATCTCTCTCTCTGCCCTAATCCAATACTCAATACGTGACCTCTGTGGATTTATGGTTGTAGCTCAATATTTTATGACTAAACAGATAATATCCATGTATAAAAGAATATATAGCAAAGTTGTCTTTTGGAGTCTAGATTACCTCACTCAGAATTTGTTCTAGCTCCATTCACATACCTGAATATATGATGTTTTTAAAGGCTTAGTAATATTCTGTTGTGTATAGGTACCATTTTGTCATTATGTATTTACCCTTTGAGAACATATCAGTTTTTTCTAATTTCTGGCTTTTATTAATAAAGTGACAATGAACATGGATGTGAAGGTGTCTCTGTAGTAGAATGTAGGTCCTTTTGGTGTAGCTAGATTTCATTGTATATTATTCCCAGGTTTATGAGGAACTGCCACACTAATTTCCATAGTGACAGTATAGGTTCGTATGCCTACTAGCAGTGAATGAGTTCTTACTTTACTCCATATCCTCACCAGCATGAGCTACCATTCACTTGACTGATCTTGTCCACCTTCATTGTGTTCCACAAGTTTGGGTACTTTGTATTTTCATCTTCACTCAATTCTACAGTCTTTAGTTTCCTTCTTAATTTCTTCTTGAGCAATTTTTCATTCAGTAGTGAGCTGTTCCATTTTCATGAGTATGTAAACTTCATGTAGTTAGTAGTGCTGTTGATAGCCAGCTCTGATCCTTGGAAGTCAGATAGAATGAAATTTGTTATATCAATTTTCTTGTGTATGTTGAAGCTTGCTTTGTGCCTGAGCATGGGGTCAGTTCAGGAAAAATTTCCTGATGAGAACTGCTGAAATGAGAATATATTCTTTTGTGCTCTTGTGAAACATTCTGTAAGATCTGTTCTGTCTTTTTGGTCTATGACATCATTTAGCTCCAGTGTTTCTCAGCTTAGTTTTTGGATGGATGACCTGTCTATAACATAATAAAGTCACTATCACTGAGGGAGCATGAACATTTGATTTAGCTGTAGTAGCATTTTTTTAAACTCTTTTGCCCTGGTGTTTGGTGCATATATGTTTGAATTGTACTATCCTCTGGGTAGATTTTTACTTTGATAATTCTGTAGTGTCTTTTTATATATTTTTTGGTGAGTTTCAATTTGAAGTCTATTTTGTCATATGTTAAAATAGCTACATATATTTGCATATTGTATCTATTTGTTCACCATAACTTTTTCCATACTTTTATCTTAAGATTGTGTCTATTCTTGATGCTAATGTTTGTTTCATAGGTACAACAGAAAGATAAATCCTATATTTAAATCCTATCTATATTAGTCTAAGTCTTTTTATTGAGGAATTGAGGACACTGATGTTGAGAGTTATCAATAAGAAGTGATTTTTGATCCTTGTTTTTTTTCTTGTTATGGTGGGTTTTGCCTTCTTTTGATGTGTTCTTCTGAGATTATTTCTTTTGTTTTATTTGGTGTGATTAACCTCTTCAGGTTGATGTTTTCCTTTTATAGCCTTATAAAACTAGATTTGTAGGTAGTGCTTAAATTTGGTTTTAACAAAATGTTTCTCTTTGTCAGTTGTGATTTAAAGTTGTTCTGGGTATAGCAGTCTGGGTTGATATTCATAGTCTCCTAAACTCTGCTTTGTTTCTGAGCGTGTTATAAGAAGGTAGGTATTATTCTAATGGGCCTGGGTTTATATGTTATTTTGTCTTTTTCCTTGAAATTTTTAAAATTCTGTCTCTTTTCTGTACATTTATGTGTCATGGAGAATTCTTTCTTATATTCTTTTTGCTCCTAGTATCTTGATAAGCACCTCCTCCTGAAGATTAGGGAACTTTTCTTCTATCATTTAGTTGGAATCTTCCTTTATTTATTGTTATTTTAATCTTATTTGTGTTTTAATGAAAGAAAAAAATAAAGGGTGTAGATTTGGGTGGGTGGGTAATTGGAGAGTCTCTGGGAGAAGATGTCAGAAGACAAACCACAGTAAGAATATATTGCATGAAAGCAGTCTATTTTCAAAACCAACTAAAATAAAAAATAAAAGCTATTTTCTGTTTCTTGAACATGAATTTTACCTTCTTCCTTTTTTACTATTTGTCATATATTTGGTCATTTCTTAATGTTTCAGATTTCCTGGACATTTTGTGCCTAGATATTTTCTTTTTATTTTTTAGAGTTTTTTTTAATTTTATTTTCTTTATCTTGTCTTCAGTGTCTGAGATTGTCCCTTCCATTAGTGTGTGGAAGGTTAGTCCGGCTTACCATGGAGGTTCTTGCTTAGCTTCCTCGTTTTTTCTTAACAGTTTTATGTCACTTTCAGTTTTCTGCAGTGAGTCTATTTCTACTTTCATGTCTTGAATGGTTTTCATGATTTTATGCCACTGTTAGTGTTTTCACCGATTTCATTAATAGATTTATTCATACTCTCTTTAAGGATCTTGAACATATTCATGATAGTCTTTTGAAGTCCTTGTCATGTGCTTTAGTTATTGTATATTTCTCGGGGTTTATTTAGCAAGATTACTAAGTTCTAGTGGAGACATGTGGTCTTTGGTGATAAAGAGTGTCTTCTGTGCTGGTGCCTAGGCATCTGTATTTGAGATGATTGTGATTCTGGGTCTTGAATCACATGGTCTTGTGTTTTTGGAGTAGGTGCACCATTCCTTGGTTTCTGTTGCCCTCTGGATCTTAGGAAAGTGTGGAAGGTGTGGGTTACCTCATAGGAAATGCTTCTGTGTTTCTGTCAGTTCTGGTCATTGTGGATCTCATGTAGGTGAGGAAGTATTTCTAGGTATTTAGTGATGGCAGGAAGGAATGGGGATGAGCTTGAAGTGGGCTCTGAAATGATCGACATGAAGGAAGAAAGCTGGTTATGTGGTAAAGCAGAATTCACAGGTTATGGAGGCAGAAAGCGATGACAGATTTCTGCGAGTGATCTGCTATGAGACTGAGATAATACTGGAGATTAGGAAATAGACTTAGGACAGTGAAGAAAACCTACCTGGTTCCCATGCTTGCTGCCTACTGGTTTCCCAGTTAGATACTGCTCAAGGTATTGCAGGCTAACACAAAGAGACAGGTGAGAAGGGAGGTTGGCTCCATACAAGGGTCATGAGAATTCCTAGGAAATGGAATCAGAGAGGGAGCTCATTTCAGATTTTTTTTAAAAGTCAAGGACCAACTTCTTTCTTGACAGAACTATAATATTCTTTCAAAATACAACTTGATATGCCATGCTTTGCTGACTCCCATGGGAGGCCATTCATGAAGGGTACTTCATGAATGGAGAGGGAGGAGGAGTGGATGAGGGGAAGAAGGTAGGTGGAGGGAGGAAACAGGAGAAGAGAAAGGAGGGGAAACTGGTTGGTATGTAAAATAATTTTAAGAATTTAATATAAAAATGTAGGGACAATTTTCTCTGAAGAGTTCCATTGTCAACCTTAAACATTGAATGTTGGAGGAGAGACTGCTTCTTGGTTCCTGAAATACTGCCCTTACAATGGAGAAATTTGTTTCCATTTTTAGTCTGTATTATCACTTCTGATGTAAAGAATATTACCAAAAGAAAGGATTTTACGTAAAATTAGAATGCTTGCCATATGAAAACACTATTTTGTTTATGAACTCATTATTATTATTAACATATAACAGTCATTAGTAAAAATTTTTATGTCTTTCTAAACTGTAGAAGTATCTCCCAGAATTTTATAGAGGCTTGATACTAAATATAAGTTTTCTAGAATTTAATATATTAAGAAGTATGTCTTTATGGTTTGAAAGATTTATTTTCAGTAAATATTGATCTTTTTATATAATTTTAAAGATAAGAAAACTTGCTGAGTAATAGTTAGAATATTATTAGTCTGTGAATTAACTAAACAGGAAAGAACAGAGTGTCTAAGCAATGCTACAGGTAAAGGTCAATGTCATTTTATATCATTAGGTGCTAAGTCAGTTGCTGTTTTAGTTTTCATTGCTTTTATAGCTCCCCTTCATTGCCCATGGCACAGCATCTTATATACGGGAACTTAATAAAAGTTAATGGATAATGCATGCATTTATGAGATCAAGTTAAGCATCGATGCAATGGAGTTTTAAGGTTTATGTTGTAATTTTATATGGTTTACAGTTTACCTATGTCATATTGGATGGTTTTTAATAACTTTGTACCATGAATCCATCTTCAGGGTAGATATCTTATCATATTTTAGAAGCACCGCTAATTTTCAAATTATTTTTCTGTCATTTTGAGTATTTTATCTATTTTGATTTAATAAGAATATTTGAAAATAAATTTCAATTATCTACTGAAATAAACATTATTCTCTTCTTTTTCTTCTTTTGCAAATATTTCTTCTAAAGAGGGAACATCAGAAGTCACAGACTCAGGTAAATATTTCATCTCTGAAATGAAATAATATTTAATTGTGGATAATAGTTGAAACCTGGGTCTTTCTTTAACTATGCAGCATTAACAGGCATAGTCACCCAAATGATGAAGTTCTTGGTGTTCTCATCTGCAGATAAACACAGATATTCCAAAAACCTCCCTATCAATAAAAGCCCAGGACCTGATCTTTTTAATGCAGAATTTTATCAGAACTTCCAAGAAGAGCTGATACCTATACTCCTTAATGTGTTTCACATAATAGAATCAGAAGAGTCATTGCCACACTCTTTTTACGAAGCTACAGTCACTCTGAGTCCAAAACCACCCAAAGACCCAACCAAGAAAGAGAATTACAGACAGACCTCACTCAAAAACATTGATGCAAAAATTCTCAATAAAATTCTTGCAGACAGAATCTAAGAACACATTAAAAAATTATCCATTATGATCAAGTAAGCTTCATCCCTGAGATGCAGGACTGGTTCAACATACAAAAATCTATCAATGTAATCCATCATATAAATAAACTGAAAGAAAAAACCATATGATCATTTTATTAGATGCAGAAAAAGCATTTGACAAAATTCAACACCCTTTTATGATAAAGGTTTTGGAGAGGTTAGGAATAGGAGGATCATAACTAAATATAATTAAAACAATATATAGCAAGCCAACAGTTAATATCAAATTAAATGGAGAGAAACTTAAAGACATTCCACTAAAATCAGGAAAAAGACAAGGCTGTCCACTCTCACCATATCTCTTCAACATAACTCTTGAAGTTCTAGCAATAGCAATAAGACAACATAAAGAGATCAAGGGGATTCGAATTGGAAAGGAAGAGGTCAAACTTTCGTTATTTGCAGATGATATGATAGTTTACATTAGTGACCCCTAAACCTCTACCAAAGAACTCCTACAGCTGATAAATAACTTCAGTGAAGTGGCAGATTACAGGACCAACTCAAAAAAATCAGTATCACTCCTATACAAAAAGGGTAGAGAAGCAGAGAGGGAATTCAGAGAAACTTCACCTTTTGCGATAGCCACAAATAGCATAAAGTATCTTGGGGTAACTTTAACCAAGGAAGTGAAAGATCTAAACCTACTTTTAAGAGTGAATGAAAACTACTTCACATTCCCATCATGTATTTTGTTTCCCCTCATTATTTCTTGCTACTGTGTAAAATACATACAAAAGAAAATCAGCCAGTCAACACCATAGATTGCTAATCAGCTTCTACAATCTATTTTGCCGTCCCCAGTGAATTTTAATTGTTTACTTTCATTAGTTTGAGAAACTGCTACACAATGTCAAAACTTAATTACCTACAGCAACAATGAAAATTTAGATTATTTTTTCTGTTTCTATTTTGAATTCTCTTTTTAATGCCATAAATACATTTTAATGCCAAAATACATAAGAAAAAATGAAAGGGCACTGTACATACAGGTAGCTAAATATAATTAACACACTTCTTTTTTTCTATAGAATGTTCCTACTCATCTCGAAATGGAACAGACCTGATTTTACCCACCTCTACTCATGGGCTCAAGTCTCATCTTCAGCTTTCCAAGAGTGAATGAAAACATTATGTTTCATAAGTTGATTATTATATGTCATTTTTTTTCTCCCTAGGGAAGAAGAAAGTTGAAAAATCTGAAAAGGAAAGTAAAGGTAAACATAATAAATTTGTTTGTGTATTTCTCAAAAAATAAAAGCAGTTTATAAAAATATAGGCACTAACATTATTGAATATATCAAAGTTTCAGTTTGACATTCAAAAGTTATAGCATTTACATGATTATTATTAAGTATTAAAAGAATAGAAATTTAGATTGCAGCAAATTCTACCTGTTATTGATAAACGATCTCCATACATATGACTTTTGAATTGTGGATATTGATGACTCAGAATTCACTTTCAAACTTCAGGATGTATGAATAAATGATTTATTTAGGACATTAATTGATTTTTTAACTAAAGAACACTAAAAATAAGTATACATTATCAGAAAAACATAAAAATAAGTCAAAATTTTGAAACCAAACTCATTTGAGTTATGTTTTATTTATATCATCTTTAAGTTAAATTTGATGTGTGCATTTTAAAGGCATTGCTTTGATTGAAAGAAATCATTGGTGAATATGTACTGATGTCATTGTAAAAATAACTAATGAATGAAAGATAATTTCTGAAATTAAGCATTCATTTATTTTGCTGCTGGTGGATAATATGGACACAGTATGACCATTATTTTTTTCCCTTAAAATTAAGTTTACGTAAAGTTTCCATTAGTAAGCTACCTAGCTTCATATAGTCAGGGTTGGTTTTAGTATATTCATTTGGAAAATTTACAGAGGAATTAATTGTCTAAATAATACATCCCAGACCAAGAGGAAAGCATGATTGCCAATAATAGAAATGACATTTGGTTTACTCATATTTGCATGCTCATGATGACATGTTTTTCACAAATACGATTCCTCTAAATAATTGCATTACTACTGTATATCTCTTTTTAAGAGTAGAATGATCATCTTGTTACCAGTTATTCTCATTAGACATTAGTTCAATATAAAACAAAATTGCTAAGAATTACCCTGAGGAAATAGTTATAATGTTGCAATTATTTGAATCTCATAAATTTAATATTTAAAATGAGGCAAATATTTAATGCAAAGTTATTTTAAAGTTTCATATTTAATATATATTTTAATAAACAGTTCCCACAAGACAAGAAAATCTTCAGGGCCACAATGTGACTAAAGGTAAACTTGAACTTTATGAATATTTATATTTTCTGTTGCTATGGAAATTCATATGGTATTTTATACTATTATTAACACTAATGTTTTTAAGAAGATTTGTAGGTATGCTCTTTTTGCTAATATATAAGAGTGAGGACAGACAGAAAATCTAGCAGAAAAATTAGGAAAGAAATAGGAAGCAATATTATCAGTTCATAGATTCAGTGAAATATTTTAGTCATGCTAGAAGAGAAATATTTCTCTGTTACAAAAAGCTTTAGCTGCATAATAATATCAAAGTTTCTATACTTATAGTAGTTTAAAACAGTTTCAACTGAGATGTATTTCACTGTGAAGAAAATCAACATCACATTTGTATTTTATTTTTATGTTGACTTTTTTATTTATTTATTAAAAATTTCCACCTCCTTGCCTTTCCCTCCCACTCCCCCCATTCCCCCTCCCTCTCCAGTCTTAAGAGCAGTCAGGGTTCCCTGCCCCGTGGGAAGTTCAAGGTACTCCCCTCCCCCCATCCAGGTCTAGGAAGGTGAGCATCCAAACAGACGAGGCCCCCTAGTTTAACTTAGCAATAAACTGGAAAATGTCAGCATGAAAACAGCAGAACATTGCTCTTCAAAATAGTTATGTGTTTGGGTGATTCTATCACAAAACTACAAATAAACATTATTAATTACATAGTAGAGATGACATAATTTTAGGCCAGTCTAGCCAGGATAGTAGAGAAACACAACTAAAGCCATTTTTGTCTTTGTAATAAGCAGGTGGGTCCTCAGTGAGAGGAAGGCAAGCCCTGGTTTCCATCAGGTCTCTTTGTTGCTTGTTGTAGCTTGTATATTCAGCTGGCAGGATGTTCCTTGATTCATTTCGCCTTACACTTATTATAATTGAGAAGTACCATAGCATTCAGTGAAGAAGAACTGTTAATTCATGTCAAGAACTGTCAACGCATGACTCCAAGTCACCGCAAGTTGAGAAAGCATTAATTGTTCATTTATTTAAGGGTAGTTCATTGTATCTTAGTTTCCACTCGGGTCTTTTGTAGGTTCTATCTCCTTGAACGTGACAGAATTTTTAAAATAGAATTATTACTGAAGAATTTTAAGTTATTTAGGGTTGTAAGTTTCTGTTTAAGACATTCATCTACAGTAATTCCCCAAACACAACTCTCCCAATTTAAACTATTTTCTCTACAAATTGTATTTCTGTTAACTGGCAATTCTTAATTCCATAGTAGAAACAGTATAGATCTCAAAATATATGAACGTAATGCAGATTCCATTGTATTTTGGAGCCTGATCATTTAAATTTAACAAATGGTGGTTGAAGGAAGATATGACCCATCTCCTTTTCTAGGAAATTAGCCTATCTTCTGGCATTTTGAATAATCATCTCACTGTGTATTTTGTGGTATAAACATACATTAAATGAGATGCACTACTTCAAATAATCATCACTCACTGAAAGGAAAAAAAAGAAAGATCCAATTTGTATGATGCATTTACAGAGTCATTACTTTCTTAATATAATTGGCGGTTACTTGTCTTTATTCATATTTGAAAGGGAAATAATTCTTAATATATCTCATGTAGTTTAGAAATTATAAAGTATGTACATAAACTACATCATGAAAAGTAATTTTATTCAAGTTATCTGTAATTACAGTTGAACCAAAATAATTTTAAAAAGATCCTGCTGATTTTAGTAAGAGTGTTTCAAAAGTTAAATTGTTTGGCAGTTGAGATGAAGAATGGCTTTTTTGAAAGCATGAGTATCTTTCTATAAAAGAGACTCCATTTTTCAAAGAAACATTCCACAGACGATGGAAAGCTTTATTTGTTCATTAACTCTTAATCAGTAGAGAAGGGACCCACCGACATTAGATCCATTTACATAGTCCATTGACAAGTGCTCCAAATCTCTTGCTTTATTATCTTAGTAAAACAAAATATATATTCTCTTTTCAGAAGAAAAACCTGCAAAAATACCAAGTAAGTACGGTATGTGTTGACAATAAATTCATTTTAGTACATGTAGGTGGTTGCGGTACGCTGAAGGAAAAATCATCTAAAGAAGGAAATGTTCTAGAGCTTTTAGCCTGTGATTCGCATTCCGTCACTGTGGGCTTGAGATGAGGTGGGGTATCATGGTAGTGGAAACAAGAGGAAACATGGGAGACTTTCCTCAGAGGCAGTTTACATGCAGAGAAATAGAGAGAGAGGACCGCAGGAAAGGTGTACCACTGAAAGCCACAACCTCAGTAACATCCTTCCTCTAGATCAGTGCATTGTAGTAACCCCATTGACTACTCTCCCATCTGCCAGAAGCTAGCGCTAGCGAAGTCCTAGATGAATGTCAGTCATGTAATGTTGACAGTGTGAGCAGAAAAGTTCCACCATAGCTGCCTCCTTGCTCTAAAGACCTGAAGGCTGCTCCTCGGCAGAGATTGCTCCGACTGGGATTAGACAAGATTGCGTCCCTGATCAGCAAGCGGAATAGCTCCGACTCCTTGTTTATCTTTATGCAAGAACCCTGCCTAACTGTTCTACTGAACATAATACACACATGAATTTTTCTGAGCATCTTAAATATGAATCTACTGTAAACAAACTTTTAAAAATTTCTAGAATTCATTGAAACAATCATATTTATTCTTTGCCGTGTCTCCAGATTTAAGAAAACAAATCATAGAAGATTAGGATTATCATGAGTATACTACAACTATATGTGTAATTTTTGATTTTGATACATATCTACCAAAGTTTTTAAAAAGGTTGTGAGATTATTTTAATATTATATTTAATCCAATATATGTATATCATTTAAAAATATGTAATAAGCATACAGGTACACGTCTTTATAAAATGCAATTTTAGAGTTATTTGTGTATTTTATACTGATTTCACATGTACATTTGTAATACTGGCATTTCAGTTCCCCATACACTCTGTAGTTAATGACTATTACATGGATTGAGCAGTCGAAATATTTATTGATTATTTATCCACTTGCTGAGTACAGAAGAGCTCATAAAATTAGTAAATATAACTTGTCACAGCTGTCATTCAAATACATTGAATCAAAACAATAAATTGATTTAAAACAGTAAAACCTCACACAGTCTCCAGTAATTTAAAAAGGAGAATTATTTTAAGTTTAATGAATTTTCTCATGAGTGGGAGGACAGATTTGCAGCTGAGCCTCGAGAACAGCCCTAAAATACTACACTTTTCCACATTCTTTCTCTATGGCCTTAAAGCTAAGGATCACAAGAGCAGATTTCATGGAAGAAGTATTACCTAGAAGAATGGTTAAGGGTGTGGAAGGCTGGAGAAAATTATAAAAGTTCAAGATTTGTAAAGTATAGCACACTAAATGTAGCTTCTAACAAACAATGACCACTATATCCCTCAAACCTATTTGGTATTTTTTAATGTGTTGGAGGAGAAGAAGACAGGATGTTATGAGTGTGATATCTTAAATTTGTCGTCATTTACTTTTCTCTTGCTAAAGGAGATTTAAGAAATAGTTGTGTTTGAAATAATTACCTGCATTTCTTGTCTGCTGGCAAACCGGTCCTTTAACTAAATTAACAAATTAGGTTATTTTTCACTTTTTTGGTTTTTCGTTTTGCTTGTGTGTGTGTGTGTGTGTGTGTGTGTGTGTGTGTGTGTGTGTGTGTTGTTTTGGTGGGTGTGAATACTATCCATGGTGCTGGAGACTAGGGAAGACCTACTGGCAGATAAGAAACGCATCGTTTGTGAACAAACACAAGCTGTATTATACTGCATTGTAGTGCTCACTCTGAGTGGATGCCTGAAGACCCCAGTGGCCTGTGTTCTCACATATCAGGGCTCCCACTGATAGGACAGCAAATGCAGAGAGAGCCAACACTGCAGAGTGGAGTATTCCATGCTTCAAACAGGATTATGGATTAAACAGGATCTGCTCTGTGGTTTAGTTGTGAAGGATATTACTTAAGATTTTCTCATGCAAATGTGGTTGTTAGGTAATTTGCTTGTATATTAGGGTAGGATGGATCACTCAGGTGTCAGTAACTCCAAGTTCTCAGATAAACTAGCATGAAGTGTTAATGAGATTTAGGTATAATTAAATAAGGATTTCACCAGTATATAAGTTTATGTTTTTCCAGAATTTACATCTTTAGTAAATGTAGGTCTGGAAGTCAACCTCTGAAATAACCATCTATTAAATATATCTGCTTAGAAGAATAGAATTAACTATAATAAATTTTATTCCATAAAATATATGGAATTAATAAAATCATTAATAATTTTATGAACATTTTTACATTAAAATTTTCCAATAGCTTCAGAAATCCAGAATATCCCAAAGTAAATTTGATTTATGAATGAAGGCATATGTCATTTTCAAATAATAGTTTTGATATTTCTGGTTCAGTTTTGCATTATGTTGTTACCACCCTTAGCCCTATTATTCTAAATAAATGAATTTATGGTCTTTTCTGAAGTGATACAATACTCCTGAAAGATATTTAAAAGTTAGTAGACTTCTAAAATTAATTAATAAGAGTTTAATTGAGTTACTGAGAAAATTACTTTGCAATTAATTAATGAAAACATATCAGCCTTTTAACTTATAAAGAAGTGAATTAGTCTTACCTCTGTACAACACACGCCAGTCATATTTCTTGTGATCCAAAGAAAACGTAACAATCTTCAGATGCAATTGTAGCACAAGCCTTGATATACTGTTTACTTTACTCAACCAAGTGGAATGCTAAGATTCTTGCCAATATACATTGAACTAATTAGTTTTAAATATGACCAAAGTCCAAACAACGATTAAATGGCATTGTAAAAACTAAGTGGCTATTAAATCTCTCCCCCTCGTCTCTTAAAAGTGTTGGGGAGGCAGGAGTGAATCATCCCTGGTGCTGTCAACATAAGATTTAAAGTATCTTTGTTTCATTTCAGTGAGTGATATTAGGACTTGTTTAAATCAAAGGAAAGCCAGGTCCTTCTCATCCATAAATTAATCCCTCATAACATAAAAATGTAGGAAAGGAGTAAACAAATGAAGATTTAAGAGAGATCATTGTTCTTTACTGTTGCTGTTTATGTTAGCTCTTTACCAAGATGAGAAAACTCCATCCTATTCCTCCTTGGCTTGTTTTTCAATCATAAAGTAATGATATTGGATTTTGGCAAATAACATATTCTGTATCTATGTCATAGACATTGTATAATGCCGTAATAGCCATGGTATAATGCTGTAATAGCCATGGTATAATGCTGTAATAGCCATGGTATAATGCCGTAACTGAGTTTTAGATGCTAAACCAAAGTAGCACTTCTAGAGTACATCTCACTTGCTTGTTGTATAGATTTTGTAAATCGATGGTGTCAATTTGCTAGGGAGAGTTTTTACATCCAAATTTATAAGAGGATATCAGTCAACAGTATTTTTGTTTATTTTTTTTTAGGGTGCATTGGTCTGGGTTTGATTCAGAGTAAGGCTGCCTCATAGAATAAGTGGGCTGTATTTGCCCCCCTTTTAATATTTTAGAAGACTATGAAAAGAATTTTTTTAACCAGTGGTGTGATCTGGGAGATGGATTTTACTTTGCAAGGATTCTGTTTGTTGTTAATATACTGTCAATGCCACCATTTTATTATTAAAAATATGTTGTTCAGTTTACTGTTCTTAAATCAGTTTTGATATACTTTTCCAAGAAATGTTAATTTTTAAAATGTTTTTAATTTTTATTTAACAGGTAGGCTTTGTCATTTATATATATATATATGTATCATTATAATGTATATATTAAATAATACTGAAATAGAATTATTTGTTATAGTTTTAAATAAAAGAAAAAGAAAATTATTTCATGATATAAAAACATCTAGAAAAATTGTTAATTAAAAACTATTTCTAGGTGATGGTGGCACCTGCCTTTAAGTCTTTAATCCCAACACTTAGGAGGCAGAGCCAGAGGTAGAGGCAGATGGATCTCTTAGTTGGAGGCCAGGCTGATGCAAGTTTTAGAAAAGTTAGAGATAAACAGAGAAACTGTTTGTTGTCTCAAAAGACAAAACAAAACACAAAATCATAAAGAATTTCATTGTATCTTATTTATCAAGCACACATTTGTATATTGTGTGATATCCTTTCTACTGCTGCTGAGCGGTATCACTGTTCTTGCTCTCACTTCTGATTGTAATTATTTGAGTATTATGTTTTCTTGATCAAGTTTGGAAACAAATATAAATGATTGGCATGATTCTGTTTCTAAACCTAGATCATTATATAAAATACAGCATGTATAAAATCACACATAAAGCATAATGGTCACCAGTAATGTGCTTTCTACTTTGCCAGATTCCTTGAATATTTTTCAGAGGCAAGGACTAACAGAACATCAGGTTTTTGAGTCCCTTGGCTTATTTTTCTCATTTAAGGTTTTATATTGTTCCAACTTTGTGTGTGTTTGTGAACATGGGGAGCATGACACAGACTAGAGGTTGCATTCTGAGATTTCCCCTTAATAATCTTCTTAGGTCTCCTTGTTACCATATAGTCATAATTCACTCTTTTACAGAGTTATCCTAATTTAAAAGAAATTCTAACTTAATTACACTGTTTTCAAAAGAGGTCTTCTCTAATTTCAATTGTTTTGTCTTTTTTAAATGTGTTGTTCTATTTTGTAGCCTCTTTCACTATGGAAGAGGCCTCCCTTATTCTGTTATTTAAAGAGTTAACTTTGAAGTTTTAGTGTGCTCAATTCAGGCACTGTACATTTTCTAACCATCTTTTGAAACATGCAAATTCAAACACATCTGGTCATTTATATGGTAATGGTGTTCTGTACTTGTAGTCATTAAAATCTCTAACATATTAATTTAATCTCTATTCTACTTGAGTCAATATATGCCCATACACATGCCAGCTTAACTGCTTCCAGGGTTTGGATGTGTCTGCCTTCCAGTGGCATCTTCTTTAGAACTGC